TTGCCTAATTTCCCTGGCTAGAACCTTCAGTATGACTTTGAATAGAAGAGGGAAGAATAACCATCCTTGTCATCTTCATCTCTTAAGGAGAAATAATTTAGTCCTTCTCCATTAAGAATGATGTTAGTTGTGGATTTTTCATAGATGACTTTCATCAGGTTAAAGAGTTTTTCTTCTATCCCTATCTTATTTAGTATTTTTGTCATGAATGTTTGTTTGTGTTTGTTTCAAAAGCTTTTTTTATCTGTTATCATCATTTGCTTTTTGTGCTTTATTCAATGAACAAGTGTATTATACTGATTGATTTTTCAGACATCAAACCAACCTTGCATTCCTAGGATAAAACCTGCTTGGTCATAGTATATAATCCTTTCTATATGTTGCTGGATTTGTTTTGTTGAGGATTTGTGTATATATTCATAAGGCATGTTGGTCTTTAGTTTTCTTTTCTTTTCTTTTCTTTTTGTGATGTCTTTGGCCTTAGTATCAGGATAATACTGGCTTTATAGAATGAGTTGGGATATTCTCCCTCCTCTTCATTATTGCTTTATACAATTGTCTTTTAAATAAAATAGGAGAATAAGAGTTAGAAAAATATATATATTTACATTGACTTTACATTTAGTCATCTAATAACCTTTATAAATAGCTTTTTATTTCCTTATGTAGAGTTGACTTAATATCTAGTGTTTTTTCTTTCAGCATGAAGGACTCCCTTTAGTGTTTCTTGTAGGGAAGGTTTGGTAACAATGAGTTCTTTTAGTTTTTATATGCCTGGGAATTTTTAAAGTTACTTTTACTTTTGCTAGATATAGAATTCATTTTGATATTCCTTTTCTTTCAGGAATTTGAGGATACCATTCCATTGTCTGCTGACCTCCATGGTTTATGATAAGTCAGATGTTTTTGTTTGTTTGTTTGCTTGTTTTTAAGATAAATCAGATGTTAATCTTACTGAAAATTTCTTGAACATAACTTGCTTTTCCTCTTGCTATTTTCAAGATTCTCTTTCTGTGATGCCTTTCAACGTTTTGACTTTGATGTGTTTAGATATTGACCCCGTTGAGTTTACTCTACTTGGAATTTCTTGTGCTTCTTGGATTAATATTTTTCATCAAACTTGGGAATTTTTTGGCTATTACCTTTTCAAATATTCTTTATGCCCCTTTCTTTCTCTTTCCTTCTCACTTTCCCATTATGCCTATATTGATATGTTGGATATTATACAGATCACTTAGACTCAGTTCATTTTTCTGTATTATTTTTGTTTCTCCTCATCAGACTGAATAATTTCAATTAACCCAGCATTACGTTTTCTAATTCTTTCTTCTGCCTGCTCAAATTTACTGTTGAGCTTCTCTGGGGAATTTTTCATTTCACTTATTGTACTTTTCCATTCCAGAGTTTCTATTTGGGTCTATTTTTACAATTTCAGTTTCTTTATTGATATTCTCTATTTTGTGAGATGTTGTTCTCAAACTTTTCCTTTTACTCTTTAGATATTGTTTTCTTTAGCTCTTTGAATAAATTCACAATAGCTGATTTAAGTCTTTTCTATTAGACTTATCATCCTCAGGAACACTTTCTATTATTGCCCCCCCCCCCCATTCTATGGCCTGTATTTCCCAGTTTCTTTGTATGTTATAATTTTTTGTTGAAAACTGGACATTCTAAACAATATAATGAGACAACTTGGGAAATCAGCTCTTGAGAGTTTTTATCAGAGTTCTATTATTTGTTGTTGCTGTTGTTCAGTGGCTTTCCAGGGCTAATTTTGTAAAGTCTGTATTTGTCACGTGTAATCATTGAATTTCTGCTTGATTAACTTAGTGCTCAGCTGATGACTGGAGTGAGATATACTTAAGTTGCTTGAGGCTACAGGTTTCCCACTCCTTACTGAAGGGATCTGCAAGTTATCAGAGAATGCCTTCAACATTTTGGGATCTTAAAACTCTGCCTTAGCCTTCACTTCTTATTCACACACAGCCTCAAGGCCATCCAGAGATTGGAGCCTTCTTGGGTCTTTTCTTGGCACTGCATAACCCTGTACATGCATGAGGCTTACTAGATGTCAAGGGATATGTCAGAGCTTTACAGTATCCTAGATTTTCACTTTTAAGTTTTTCATCCAATCTGTATTGCTGATATTATTACTTGTATTGCTTCCAGGTGGCTGGTATTGACAGTTTTTAAAAAGCCACCTATTGGTTTCACAAACACCCTGGAATAGGGCTTTTCTTATTGAACAAGCTCTGGGTCAGGTCAAATAAAGATAAGCACTGTGAATAGAGTTTTTCTAAGGAGGTGACATACTGATCAAATAGTGGCAATTCTATGGGAGGAGGACTTTTGGGAGAATTCTGAATCTGTTTTGCCCTCTCTAATGGCTGTTTGGCTGCTGGTTTTCACAGTCATCATCATTCTGAAACTGTGTTTTTAAAAGCTACCAGGAAGATGAGAGTGGAAACAGGTCAAATTAAAATACAACAAAGGTTATTACCAAAAATCAGACATTTTTCTTGAATAAACACTTCTCAGATTGTTGCAAGTCTTTGATTAATTTCCAGAATTCTGGAAAGTTGATTTTGACAATTTTTTTTCCAGTGTCTTCATTGCTTTTATGGAGAAGCAGATTTTTGCAGGTCCTTACTATGCCATTCCAGAATGCCTTTGACCTTTGACTTTCTTATACAAACTACTTTTGGAGAATGAAATAATTCCTCAAATGAATTTACTCTTTTCAGAAGAATATCAGACAATAAATTAAGGAAAATAATAAGATTAAGAAAGCCATCATTGTGGAATCTCCAATGGTATATAGATCTAAGTAAATATCTCAATAGATTACCCCTGAAACAAATAATATATTATATGTTAATTTTTTAAATTAAAATGAAAATTTTTTAAAAAATTGATGAGCAAATGTGTAGTGGGTAAATTAAGACAGAGCCTAATTGCACTCATCAATTTTTATCACTAAAGCAAGGCAATCAGTCAATCAACTGTCTCCCATGGTGATACAAAGGAAGTACATAGCTCCAGCTATCCAGCATTTTGCCAGAAAATCTGAACCTAAATCTAGTGAAGCCTCTATATATGACTCCTAGTTTATAGGATATATGAAGAATAGAGAAACAAGTTAAATGACACCACATAGAAGCAATTAGATAAATTCAGAATGTGGGAAATTAGAAGAGCCAAATGATCTAGCTACTTTTTTCAGTAAATACACAGCATTTTAAAAAGGAGGAAAACTGAAAGTTTTTAGAAGACTTAAAACATAAAGCAACCAGATGCAGTAAGTAGACCTTATTTGAATAGTGATTCAAACTAACCAACTACAAAAAGACATTTTTAAGACAATCAGTGAATTTCAGTATGAATTAGATATTAGATAAGATTAAGAAACTATTAATTTTATTGGGTTTAATGATGATATTTTCTTTTTAAAAAACTCAACTATTAGAACACACACTGAAATATTTAAAGGTGAAATTATATGTTGCCTGAACCAGAAAAAAATAAACAAGAAGGGTAATTGCTGGAAAACAAGGTTGCAAAGTATAATTGTTGAGGCTGGGTGATGGCTCTGTGAGAGCATCATATTTTTTTCCTACATATTTGAAATTTTCCGTGATAAAATATTAAATGTAAAACTTTCAGTAGTATCTCATCCTTCTCACGGGTAAAGCCAAACTCCTAATAAGGCCCTGTATGATCTGGCTTCCTTTCCTCCCTCCCTCTTCTTGCCACACCATTTTCCTTGAGCAGCATCAGACACTGTCCTGCTGCCTTTCTTTATCCTGGGCACTTTCTCTTCCCAGATATTTACAAGGTTCTCTCCTTCACTTTCTTGGAGCCTTTGATCAAATGTCCTGTTCGTAAGGAGGACTTTTGTGAATGCCCTACTTTACATTTCCATCTATACACATACCCAATTTCCCTCTGTACTTGATTGTTCTCTTTAGCGTGGTCACTTTCACAGTATAAATTTTTCTTATAGATCTTGCTTATTATTGGTTTCCCCCTTCTTAATAAAAGACCCCAACTGGGCACGGTATTTCAACTGTTTTCTTCATTGCTGTATCCCTCGTATTGAGAACAGTGCCTGGCACATACCAATGCACAGTGAAACCTTCTTGAATTAATTAACTGATAAAACACCAAACATAAAGGAATTTGACAAATATTAGTCCCCTCTGCTATTCATAATTAGCCATGTGATGCAAATAATTTAACAATTTAAGCTAGACTTGGTAGTCATTGATTTGTTCCTATCATGTATTGGGACAGTTAAACTGTTAAACTGAGCATAAAAAAATAATCTATCGGGTCCAACATGAAAGTACACACACACACACACACACACACACACACACACTTATTCTATATGTTTCTAACAATGGAATATGTCTGTAAAACAACTTGGTCTTCAATGCTGTATGTGATGAGCCTGTGAGGTACTTGTGCTGATATTATCTACACTTTACAAAAGAATAAACTGAGGACCATAGAAATTGTATGCACCACATCTTACAGAAGATTCTTGGTTGTAGGGGACTTCTGATGCTGAGGCTTCTTCCAAGGAGGGATCTCTGCAGTTAGGGATAGGAACACCGCAGGATCAGTCTGTGGGTAGCTTCAACCACAACCACCAAAGAAAGACAGAGTATGATGTTGACACAACCAATGAGGAACAGCATTGCTGTCATCCCACTACCCCGCCCTCATCATGGGAACTTGCAGCCTTCGTGAAACTGCAGGGATCTCACCACGTTGTGGGCGTCCACGTGGGACTCCTCGCGCAGTGATCCCTGACGCCGAGCTCTCGGCCACAACCGCAGAGTTAGAATCTTGCAACGGAGGACGAGGGCCTCAACCGAGGAAGTAGCGCCAGTCCATATGTCGGAGCTGCAAGACCCTGAATCAAGGACACGGCTCATCCAGATGTCGGAGCAGTAAGGCTCTGAACCAAGGGCAGGGCTCATCCAGATGTTAGAGCTGCAAGAACCTGAACCAAGGTCACCACATGGGATAATACGAACCAAGAAGCCTCCACGTGAGTGTAGGGAGCCTTAGCCAAGTTGTCACTGTTGCTAAGAATAAAACTACCCTAGGGGGCAGGTATTCCAATGACCCCTTAGTCAGAGTGCTTCCCAAACACAGTTGGGAAGAACCCCGATTAATACACTATTCTACTTTCTGTGTATTCCTTTCACTACCCCTTCTTCCATTGTGTGTTTCCAATAACTGACCTGTTTTACACACACAGCATCCTCTCAGATGAAGGTAGGTTGGCTAATTTGCAGGAGAACATAGGGTGTAGTGACTTGGGGATCCCAGGGTCATGGAACAAGTAGTAGCAATACTGACTCCTGCCCTCCACCTTTTGCTCATATTCCCATATTCTTTGTGGCTTAGTAGGAGATGTACACCAGATTTTGCTACAAAAATATATATAAGCATAATATTCTTCATGATAGGAATGATTGATTTTCAAGAACTGTGAGTTAAGAGTTTCTCTGTTTGTGTATCCTTTCCTGGCTGGGTTGGCAAGTATTACTTGGGAGAATCTTTAATCATGATTAAATAAGTAAATTCTTCCTTTGCTCACCTGGAGCAAGCCACAGAGAGTTCTCCATGTGAGAAGCGACTCTTCCGGGAATCACTTTCTGCAATCTTTATGCCCTGCCCATAGAAATTCAGTCTGACCCTCAACATCAAAACCAGAGCTCATTGTCCATACCTAACACCCATATGTCCCGAGGAGCCTGTTCTTTTTTTTTCTTGGATTCCCATGCTCTGGGGAATGACTCTATTTTTTCCAATAAAATTAACTCAATAAATGCCAGAGAATCTATGCTTTAAGGCTGACTTCCCAAACATATGTGACATGACTGATGTAAACAAATCTGTCCACTTATACATAATATGATTGTGTGGTTGATCAATAGATAGAAATTTAATCTTATTGGCAGATGGATTTAGCAAACAACTATCAAGTTCCAACAATTTAAATATACATTGCTAGAGCCAGACATTTCGACACTGTGAGGTTTTACAGCAGCAAAGATGTAAATGGAAGACACTTTAAAAACATGAGTTAAAGCCACATGATAATAATGTCAGTGGCCAAGAATGGATGGCGTACTATGTGGGGAGAAGGAAGTTGAGGCAAATCCTACCCAACTCTAATGTGCCACATAAAAGAATGTTCACTGAGGCCTGAGGGCAACAAGGAGCCAGTGAAAGATTCTGAACAGGTGATTTCCACATTTGATTCTCAGTTTAGAAATGTCTTTTTGGTCTCAGTATAGAGAGTGGACTTAAGGATTTAAGTTCCTCAGCTGTGTCTATTGGATTATTGTTTTGTATTTTTTTTATTCTTTAGCAAGTTGTAGTTAGGGGGGGGGATTTCCAATATCGACCATTAGACAATTGGGGGTCATGAAGCTGCTACAGTTGCATGGAGGGCTCAAGAGAAGCACCTGCTCGAGTTGTAAGGCAGATGCAGGCAGACAAAGCTCAGTCTCCCGCCTGAAAGAGCCATAAAGATGGCAGAAGCCACTACAGTGTTTGATGGGTTGTTGTTTCTAGACACTTCTCATGAGCTGGATTAATTTGGAGGCATGCTAGAATTGCCCACGCTAACCTGTACTAAACTCAAGAGGTGAGTACCATATCTTTGAACATCTTTTTTTTTCTTATTCATTGCTAAATTGTGAAAGCTACCTTTTCAAAGTTGAATCCAAAGAAGTTATATTCCCCAGCCTCCCCTGCAATGGTCATGTGGTCTAGTCTGCAAATCACTTACTCTTGCACTAGAGTTCAGTTTGAAAGAGAACAACAAAATAGACCCTACACCGAGCTTCAATGTTGCCTACACAGATGTTGGCCCAGGAAGGCAGGAAGGTTTGACCATCTGCCATAGAGTGCTGGGGTGGGAAGTAGCAAGGACACCTTTTCTTCAGTCTAAATCAGTGGTTTCCCTCTGGGCATTGGCTTACAAACTTAACTTTACCAGTGATTCTTTGAGCTCACTAATATCTGTTTTGCTTAAACCAGCCAGATTAAATTCTGTTGTCTGCCTCTAAGAATCCTAAGGATTCTCAGAGTGACTTTAAAGTTCATAAATGATGGATAAAATCTAATAGGAGCATTAGAGTTTTTAAGAGGTCATTAGCTATGTTCAAGAGAGCATATCAATGGGTTTATTTTAAATTATTTTAGAGAATTGTTTCATTGTGAAAAATTAGAAATGCAAGAATAAATTTCTCAATAACTTTTAAGTACCTTATTCAACAGTCACTATTTATTCTTTTACATTTTGTTCTAAAAATATGTTCCATTCATTCTATGTTTATGCTATATTTTAGGTCATAAGACATCATCCCACATTGTGTTGAAAGAAGAAACCAGAATGTTGGGGGTAAGGACTAAGTGCTACTTAAGTGGATAAACTACCAGTTTATTGTAAGTTCCAAATATTTTTTAAGAGAAGACAATGACTCCTCTGCCTCAACATCCTAATGAAAGAAAATTGATGGAATGAGTTCCAGCAATCCTACCCCTATAATTTTCTTTTGTCTAGGTATGTTTATGATTTAAAGTAAATCTGACACTGTAGGTCCTAAAGAAGATGATGAGGTTAGGGGTATATTCAAGAGATAATCTATATCACAGAGCTTTGTAGACATTGATCATCTCACAGCATTGCGTTCTTGGCACACTTCTTGTACATTTATCTTGGGGAAGGTGATATTCTGGAGCACTATTCCTACTCCTCCACCCCAACCACACCTAGCATGCTATATCTTTCTCTATCATATACCTTACCTAGTGGGCTCTTGAGTCAGATTAAAAACCAGGGCTGTAAGTTAAATCTGGGTTTAGGAAAGTGCCAAAGACCATTGGGACCAGAATCTTAGGATTCATCAGGCATGGTTGCAAGTGATCCTCTCATGGTGCCAAAAGTCAAAATTGCTAATGGAAGAAAATCACTGTCACATTATCTGGTTGAGGGGAATGGAGATGGTAGAAATGTATCAGAAAAAAGAACTGGCACTGAGCATACAGACAAGAAGAAGAGGCAGAATGGCCTGCAGAGACTACCGTTCTCTCAGAACTAGAGGGTGCTACGTATCTTCATTCATAAATAAGTCCCTAGACACCTTCATTTACTTGAAAGCAACCACACCTCCACAAATTGCTAGGAAATACTCATGAATAACCCCTGTATGAGGTACCTGTAGAGATTCCAAGCACTATTTGGCTGCTACCTTTCTCCATTACCTTGGCTTCTCCCCAGTTTTTGTAATTTCTAGAGCTAAACAGGAGTAGTGGCAAAGACCCCCTATGATTCAGAAACACAGAAGCTGTACTCCACCCATGCCCTTTCTGTCATCCAATTTGTAACTCTCTTGAAATTTTAAATGTCTGGATAACTGATTATGACATTCTTTTCTCACAGGCTGCCCAAGTAATGATTGGTCTGATCCACTGTGTTCTGGGATATTTCTGGATATACTTATATGTCAGAGAATTTGATTCAGTTTCAATAAATTACCTGCCTTTAACGTTGATGTCAGGATACCCATTTGGGGCATTCTTGATTGTGAGTAAATTATCTCACTGATGATCATGCATTCATTTATTCTATGTATTTGTGCCAGTTTCTGCAGCCAGGCAATAATTTAGAGATGCCACATGTGAAAATATACAATTCTTGCTGTCAGGAAACTCATTCTACTAAAGCTATTTTAAGATGATAAATTATTTATTTAAAATTCTTCTATATAAAAATTCTATTTAGTTGAATGAATATTAGGGACAAGGAATGGTAAGTTTCCTCAAAGGGCATTTGAGATAGGTAGTAAATGTTTACTTATAAGACTCATGTTTGCCAATAATATAGGCAAGCTGAGAGCCAGAGCTTAATGGTTGGGGCAATAGAATGGACTTTGAAAGTAGTTTGGCAAAAAGGTAAAGAAAGAGCAGGGGGCTATTGACCCCGGAGGAATTTGGAAGACTTCAAAAAGGATTTCCAAGGGATGTATATTGTCTTATAGCATGGTTTAAAATGTTCCGTCTCCTTCTATTTTCCCACAAACTTCTAAAAAATACCTGCCTATCTCACAGAAATATTTTTCACTCACTTGGCAAATATTCACTACCTCATGGAGGCTAAGCTCTGTTCTAAGTATGTCAGTTACAGTAGTGAACAAAAGAGACCAAGATTCCCTACCCTTGTAAAGTTTGCCTTCTAGCAAATGATAATGTATTAAAAGAAGAAAAGTACTGTGGGAAAAATAATGTAGAGGAGGATAAAAAGGTATAAGGTTGCAATTTTTATATTTTTTATTTTATATTGAATTCAAGCTTCATTGAGAAAAGACATTTGAACAAAGACTTGAAGGAGATGAAGTGAGAAGCCACAAGGGATGTCTGAAGAAAGAGTGTACAAGGAGAGGACCCTAGGCTGAGAGCAAGTATGGACCATTTACTGAACAAATGGCCAGTATGGATGGAGAAAATTGAGCTAAGAGAGATTGGTAGGAAAAGAGGTCAGTTATATGATAGGAAGTATGTTAATCTAAGGACCTGCAGTCATTAGATGTAATATTACTCCAAATAACCCTGAGAGCCATTGCAGGGTGTTGAACAGAGGAATGACATGATCTAACTTAAATATTTAAGAACCATTAAAAGATTGTAAAGGAGCAAAGACTCAAGCAAGGAGCCTTTTAAAAGATCTGATTATAGTTATGCAGGTGAGAGAGTATAGTGGCTCAAACCAGAGAGGTAATACAAGGAAAAGTTAATTCTGGATATATTTTTATATTAGAGCCCCAGAAATTTCCTGATGGCTTGGATATGGGATGTGGGAGGTGGGGGGAATAAAGGACTCTTCAAATTAATGAGTCAAGCAATTAAAAGAATAAATTTATCATCGACTGAGATGGGTAAGTCTCTGAGTTTAAAGGGGGTGGATTTTCACATGTTCAGTTTGGGGCATGTAGGGTTTGAAATCCGTTTTAGGTATCAGAGATGTCTTAGACATTAGAGATACCAAGTGTCCTGCTTATACACATGAGTCTGGAGTTTGGGGAAAAAACTATAAATATAAGGTCATTGGCATACTGATGGTATGCAATGATACAAGATGAAAATTCTAGCAAGAAGTTGTTCTAGCAAGAAGTTATCTTATTTGTGGAGAGGAGGACTATGGCCTACTCAGGCCGTCTGATACTGCGGCATCTCCAGCATTAGGTATTCAGATTGAAGAAGAGGGACAAACAAAGAAAACTGAGGAGTAAAACAGGAGAGTATACTATCCTGGAAGCCAAATGAAGAAGGTAGAGTCAAAGAGGGAGCTGTCAACTCTTAATGACTATAGATAGGTCAAGTTGGATGAGATAAGAGCTAAAATTGCCATTGGCTCTTGCAACATTGAGGTCGTGAGTGATCTTGACAAGAAGAGGTTCATTGTCAGGTGGTGCTAAAAACCTGATTGAAATTATTTTTAAAAAGAATCAGAAGACAGAGCCTAAGTTTAGAAAACTCTTTCATTGAGTTTTCCTGCAAAAAAGAAAAATAATGTGGTGTTAGCTAATGGAGCAAGTGCAGTATATACTTTTGTCCTGATACAGTGATTAACTGAGTCTGTCCTCAGAGTTATGGTGATAATCCAAGAGGAGATTGAGAGCATTGGTCACCCAATGTGGTGAGCCATGCTTGATTTACATATAATTACATGCCCTGTTTTTATGTTACCACACAGTAAGAAAGCTGCCACTAGCTAAGAGTCAAGAGTGAAGACAAGTTCTGTCCAGTCCTTTGATTGTTCAGAGACCCACACTAGAATTTCACTGGACTAAAATTACCCCTGGCCTCAGCTGATTATGTACTCTTTTTATCCCTAGTGTCTTTATTTATTAATTTTTTTTTATTTTTTTATGTTTTCATTTCTTTTTTTATTAACATACAATGTATTATTTGCTTCAGGGGTACAGGTCTGTGAATCATCAATCTTACACAATTCAGAGCACTCACCATAGCACACACCCTCCCTAATGTCCATGACTCAGCCACCTTCTCCTTCCCCCACCCCCCAGCAATCCAGAGTTTATTTCCTGAGATTAATAGTCTCTTACGGTCTGTCTCCCTCTTTAGTTTCATCTTCTTTGTGTTTTCATTTCTTTTGACTATATAACCAGGATGGAATTGCTGTGGTTACTATGTGTTTAAAGACTTGAGGAACCACTAAGCTGTTTTCCACCAGCAACACTGAGATTGAGGCCTGCTGTTTTTCTCCCTTCTCACCAGTGCTTATCATCATTATTTTGATTATAGCCATGCTAATGGGTAGAAAATAGTATCTCCTTTTGATTTTCTCTCTTTGACTATAGGTGTGGAGCATCCTTTCATGTTCATATAGACCATTTATCTGTCTTCTTTTGAGAAGTGTCAATTTAGATTCTTTGCCCTTTAAAAAAAATGGGTTAATTGTCCTATTTATTAATTTTTAAACCTAATGCCTGCATTTATGCAATTTATCTAAATTCAATTTTGAACTAAGGGGGTTTAAATAAATAAAGAGGCAAATGAATAGGTGTGTAATTTTTTTCAACATATTTGAGAGTTATTAGGAAAACATGGACCATAGGTACTTACAGCATCTGGCCATTAACAATGGGAGAATTCGCAGAGGGAAGTGCCCTTGCACTGAGGGTTAAGTCCTTTGCAGGAGCAGTTTCTTTTCCTGGGGACGATCATCCCCCAAGTTTTGATGCTTATTGTCAGCTTCAATGTCACCTTCTCTGAGAGATCATTTTGAAAAACCTCTTCAGATTCAACCCCCAAGGTATCCTCTATCATATCATACCATTTTATTTTCTTCGTATTTTGATAAGACACGAAAGTGTGTGATGGTCAAAGGCCCCATGTTTCTGAGGAAAGAACATGCACGGCTGCCCTCATTACAGACTGTGGATAGTCTTTTTTTAGAAAGGCTGCATGCATACATGCAGTTTATACCAATGGGGGGGGAACCATTCTTGATGTACAACTATGCACAACAACTATCTATTTTAAAATTATTTTTAATCAAGTGTAATTAACATACAGTGTTATATTAGTTTCAGCGCACAATATAATGATTCAACAATTCAATACATTACTCACTGCTTATCACAATAAAGGTACTTTTAGTCCCCGTCACCTATTTCACCCACCCCCCGCCCACCCACCTCCCCTCTGGTAACTACCAGTTCATTCTCTATAGTTAAGAGGTTTTTTTTGTTTGTTTTTCTCGCCTTTCTTCATTTTGTTTTCTTAAATTCCACATCCTTTGTGATGTGAAATCATATGATATTTGTCTTTCTCTGACTGACTTAATTTGCTTAGCATTATGCCCTCTAGATCCACCCATGTTGTTGCATATTGAAAGATTTCACCTTTTGAATGGCTGAGTAATATTCCATTATATGTTACACACCACTTCTTTACCTCAGTCATCTATGGTTGAACACTTGGGTTGCTTCCATATCTTGGCTATTGTGAATATGCTGCAATAAATGTAGGGGTGCATATATCTTTCCAAAGTAGTGTTTTCATATTCTTTGGATAAATTCCCAGTAGTGGTGGAATTATAGGACCATATACTAATTCTACTTTTAATTTTTTGAAGAACCTATGTACTGTCTTCCACAGTGGCTGCACCAGCTTGCGTTTCCATCAACAATGCACAAGCGTTCCTTTTTCTCCACATCTTCACCAATACTTATTGTTTCTTGTGTTTTTTATTTTAGTCTTTCCGATAGGTGTGAGGTTATATCTCATTGTGATTTTGATTTGCATTCCCCTAATGATGAGTGATGTTGAGCATCGTTTCAAGTATATTGGCCATCTGTATTTCCTCTTTGGGACAATATCTGTTCATATCTTCTGCCCATTTTTAATTGGATTACTTGTTTTTTGGTGTTGAGGTGTGTAACTTCTTTATTTATTTTAGATATTAGCTCCTTCTTGGATATATCATTTGCAAATATCTTCTACCATTCAGTAGGCTTTCTTTTTGTTTTATTGATGGTTTCCTTCACTGTGCAAAAGATTTTCAGAAACAACTGTCTTTCCATCCAATACCAGAAAATAATAAGATATTCAGGATAGGTGACTTTGGGGTGTTTCTTACATTTCAGAAATTAACTGCAGATTAAATGCTTTTTAAATGATATTTTCTGTTAATAAAATAGTTTTCACAGTTTGGCGACCGTGGCCATTGCTGCTATAAACATTGGGGTACAAATGTTTATAGCAACAATGGCCACGGTCGCCAAACTGTGGAAAGAACCAAGATGCCCTTCAACAGACGAATGGATAAGGAAGATGTGGTCCATATACACTATGGAGTATTCTGCCTCCATCAGAAAGGATGAATACCCAACTTTTGTAGCAACATGGACAGGACTGGAAGAGATTATGCTGAGTGAAATAAGTCAAACAGAGAAAGTCAATTATCATATGGTTTCACTTATTTGTGGAGCATAACAAATAGCATGGAGGACAAGGAGAGATGGAGAGGAGAAGGAAGTTGAGGGAAATTGGAAGGGGAGGTGAACCATGAGAGACTATGGACTCTGAAAAACAATCTGAGGGTTTTGAAGGGGTGGGGGGTGGGAGGTTGGGGGATCCAGGTGGTGGGTATTGGAGAGGGCACAGATTGCATGGAGCACTGGGTGTGGTGCAAAAACAATGAATACTGTTACGCTGAAAAAATAAAAAATTTAAAAAAATAGTTTTCAATAGCATTCTATTAAACATTCATGTGAGTGGACTCACTATAACAGTGTGTATTTTCTAGTAATAAAAGCTCATGTACTCAACAAGAAGTTTCTTTATTTTTTAGCATGCCAAGCCTTTTATTATGGAAAATTTCAAACATTAAGAAACAGAAGAGTATATTGACCCCTTGGACCTAGTTTAGACAATTATCAGCTCATATTTAGTCTTGCTTCATACATCCTTCCATTCACTTTCCCTGTTTTACTCAGATTATTCTGAAGCAGTTCCTAGACATCACATAATTTTATGTGTAAATATTTCAGCATGCATCTCTGAAAGACAAAGACTCTTAAAAATACAAATAACCTTGCAATGACCTGGATGGAACTAGAGCATATTATGCTAGGTGAAATAAGTCAGTCAGAGAAAGACAAACACCATAAAATTTCATTCATACATGGATTTTAACAAACAAAATAGAGAAACACAGGTGAAGGGAAGGAAAAATAAAATAATATGAAAACAGAGAGGGAAGCAAACCATAAGAGACTGTTAACTATAGGGAAAAAACTGGGGGTTGCTGGAGGGGAGGGGGATGGAAGGATGGGTAATTGGTGATAGGCATGTTATATGCAACTGATGAAACACTGAACTCTCCCTATGAAACTAGTAATTCAGTATGTGTTAACTAAGTTGAATTTAAATTAAAAACTTTTTAGAAATCGACAAGAAGTTCTAATTGAAACCAGTAAAATTGTATCTATCCTCCATGACATAAATCACATTAAAAAATTATTCCTTCCACAGTTTGGCTACCGTGGCCATTGCTGCTATAAACATTGGGGTACAGATGGCCCTTCTTTTCACTACATCTGTATCTTTGGGGTAAATACCCAGTAGTGCAATGGCAGGGTCATAGGGAAGCTCTATTTTTAATTTCTTGAGGAATCTCCACACTGTTTTCCAAAGTGGCTGCATCAACTTGCATTCCCGCCAACAGTGTAAGAGGGTTCCCCTTTCTCCACGTCCCCTCCAACACATGTTGTTTCCTGTCTTGCTAATTTTGGCCATTCTAAGTGGTGTAAGGTGATATCTCAATGTGGTTTTAATTTGAATCTCCCTGATGGCTAGTGATGATGAACATTTTTTCATGTGTCTGATAGCCATTTATATGTCTTCTTCAGAGAAGTGTCTGTTCGTATCTTCTGCCCATTTTTTGATATGATTATCTGTTTTGTGTGTGTTGAGTTTGAGGAGCTCTTTATAGATCCTGGATATCAACCTTTTGTTTGTACTGTCATTTGCAAATATCTTCTCCCATTCCGTGGGTTGCCTCTTTGTTTTCTTGACTGTTTCCTTTGCTGTGCAGAAGCTTTTGATTTTGATAAAGTCCCAAAAGTTTATTTTGGCTTTTGTTTCCTTTGCCTTTGGAGACATATCTTGAAAGAAGTTGCTGTGGCTGATATCGAAGAGGAACATAATCCTATGTTCTCCTCTAGGATTCTGATGGATTCCTGTCTCACATTGAGGTCTTTTATCTATTTTGAGTTTATCTTTGTGTACGGTGTAAGAGAATGGTCGAGTTTCATTCTCCTACATATACCTGTCCAGTTTTCCCAGCACCATTTATTGAAGAGACTGTCTTTTTTCCACTGTATATTTTTTCCTGTTTTGTCAAAGATTATTTGACCATAGAGTTGAGGGTCCATATCTGGGCTCTCTACTCTGTTCCACTGGTCTATGTGTCTGTTTTTATGTCAGTACCATGCTGTCTTGGTGATCACAGCTTTGTAGTAAAGCTTGAAATCAGGTAACGTGATGCCCCCAGTTTTATTTTTGTTTTTCAACATTTCGTTAGCGATTTGGGGTCTCTTCTGGTTCCATACAAATTTCTGGATTATTTGCTCCAGCTCTTTGAAGAATACCGGTGGAATTTTGATTGGAATGGCATTAAAAGTATAGATTGCTCTAGGCAGTATAGACATTTTAACAATATTTATTCTTCCGATCCAAGAGCATGGAATTCAAGTGAAGCATTAGGAGCACTATCTAAATGAAATTATAATGGAAAAAGAAAGAAAGAACCAAAAGAAATAATTGGACAAGTTTCTAAGGAAAAATCATTTATATCCATGTTGTTGTAAATGCTAGAGGGTATGTAATGTGGATAGAACTAGAGTGTGTTTTGCTAAGCAAAATCAGTCAGAGAAAGACAAATAACATATGATTTCACTTATATGTGGAATTTAAGAAACAAAACAGATGAACATAGGGTAAGGTAAGGGAAAATACGTTAAGATTAAAAACAGAGAGAGTCAAACCGTAAGAGACTCTTAACTATATGGAACAAACTGAAGATTGCTGGAGGGCAGGTAGGTGGGCAGATGGGGTAAAAGGGTGATGTTCATTAAGGGGAGCACTTATAGTGAGCACTGGGTATTATATGCAAGTGATGAATCATGAAATTCTACTCCTCAAACTAATACTACACTGTATTTTAACTAGCTTGAATTTTATAAAATCTTGAAAGAAAAAAAATTATTGTACTGGATTTGTTTTGAAGTGCTATTTATTAGATACTGGATTTTAAATAAATGATCTTATTTTTAAAAAATATTCCTTTATTCCATTTTAAATACATGTGTAACATTAACCCAATAATTGTTCCCTCCATCTCTTTAATAGAAAACCATGGATTTATTACTACGTGATTTTTCCAGGGACTACCATAGGACTACAATAGGAATTTTGGTGTTTCAGCCAAATTATTTTCAAACTTCAATTTCTCTTTGGATGAGGAAAAAAAAAGGAAAGAAGAAAGGAAAGGAAAGAAAAAAGAAAAGAGAAAGAAATTAACCCAGGTTCCTCAAGAAAGAGGAGGACTTTTACTGAAAAAACAATCTGAAGGGTTTGAAGAGGTTGGGGGGTGGGAGGTTGGGGGAACCAGGTGGTGGGTATTAGAGAGGGCACGGATTGCATGGAGCACTGGGTGTGGTACAAAAACAATGAATACTGTTATGCTGAAAATAAATTTAAAAAAAAATGAAAAAAAAATATTAGAAACTACTTTACTCTTTGAGGAATCTAAAAAATAATTGGGACAAAAGTGGGGAGAGAGCCCTCTGATATAAAATAGAGAATTTGGCTGGCTTTGACTCCCTGACTCCTGGGAAATTTCTCAAGTGATATGAGTGTCTTGGTTATTCCTGGGCCCCTTGCACCATACCTGAGTGTTCAAGAGCTGGTTGTGCCAGAAAGATCAACCACAGAAACATAATGTAACCCCATAATGAAATTGCAGAAACTGAGGCTCAGGTAGGTTTCCTGGTTGATTATATACATTGATGTGCCAGGAGGGTGATGCGTGCTCAGAACATGGAAGCTTCATGCTTCAGACCATTCTAGACCTCACCCTTGGCATCTCTTCATTCGACTGGTCCTGATGTGTACCTTTTCTGGTAACAGTGTAATTGTAAGTATAGCACTTTCCTGGGTTCTATAAGTCACTCTAGCAAATTCTCAAACCTGAGATGGGTAGTGGAGAACCTTGTATTTGTAGGCAGTTGGTCAGAAATCCAGGTGGTCTGGAAATCCCCAAGCTTATGGCTGGGGTCTGAAGTGAATGCAGTCTTATTGGAATTCCTGTGCCCTTACCCTGTGAAGTCTGAGCTAACTCTGGGTAGTTGGCATTACACTGCATTACACTCGCAAAGTAGAGACCACCAGAACATCACCAGGAGAGTGAAGGAGCTGAAGGACAGGAAACGTTTAGGAATTTTAGAAATTTGGGGATTTTACCTCACACCTCATCAAACCTATTTAAATGGTCTCGTATCCCCATATTAAATATCATTTTGCTTTGAAAAATTAAAAGTCTTCTTATGATTCTGGTTTTAGAAAATTATCTACAAATAACTCATTTAATGTAGTATTACATATACCTTCTCAGCAATCATTGTGGATACTTGGGAAATCCAAAGAAGTGAAAAATATCTAACTTATGAATTATTTTCTAATGTAATAAAGTTGTTATGGATTCTAAATTTAGCAGTAATGAAGTTAACATAATGTTACATTTTATAGACCTTTCATTAAACTTGTTATTAATTAATTAAAAGTTGTCAGAGGAATTTCTTGGGTGATAACAAAGTTGCTTACAGGTGCCTCTTTTTTTTTTCTCAGTTTATCATATCAGGAATTTTTGCAGTAGAAGCAGAGAAGACACGTTCCCCAAAATTGGTAAGAATAATTGAGGCAATTTCAAGGATAAAAATTTAACTTGTCAAAAACAAGGATACCAGTAAGGAGAGGATATCACTGCCTCTTAAATAGTAGAAATTTATTCAAAATACTAAAATGTAAAACATTGCCTTATAATACTTCACAATTTTTTAAATGGATGGACCCCAATATAATTCTTTGCTAATTTCATAAAACATTAAAATAACACAGAATGCATGAAGCAAACCAGGAAATCAGAAGTGAAAATTTAAATAGGCTATGTTATTTTTTTCAAATTAAATATCAAATATAATAGAAAACTTGTAAATGGATACTTTGAAGCAGTGTAAGGGAAAAAATGTGATTAAAACAGTGTTAAGATGTTTTTTTTTTTTTTAATTTTTTTTTTTTTAAGATTTTATTTATTTATTTGCCAGAGAGAGAGAGAGAGAGAGCACAGGCAGACAGAATGGCAGGCAGAGGCAGAGGGAGAAGCAGGCTCCCTGATGAGCAAGGAGCCCGATGTGGGACTCGATCCCAGGACTCTGGGATCATGACCTGAGCCGAAGGCAGCTGCTTAACCAACTGAGCCACCCAGGCGTCCCAAGTGTTAAGATGTTTTAAATGGCTTCTATTTCCCAGATGCCTCACTCAGAGTTTTTCTCTATTACCTCACAACAAACCCTATCAGGGTGGATTATATTATATACCAAGAGTATCAACAACCATCTCTAAAGATAGTTGACTTTCTATGCTTGACTTTTTTCACTTAGCAAAATCCCCTCCAGTCCCATCCATGTTGATGCAAAAGTTGGGTATTCATCCTTTCTGGTAGCTGAGTAATATTCCATTGTATATATGGACCACATCTTCTTTATCCATTCATCTGTTGAAGGGTATTTCAGCTCTTTCCACAGTCTGGCTATCATGAACATTGCTGCTATGAATATTGGGGTTCATGTGGCCCTTCTTTTCTCACTTATTTGTGGAACATAAGGAATAGCATGGAGAACATTGGGAGAAGGAAGGGAAAAATGAAGGGGGGGAATCAGAAGGGGAGATGAACCATGAGAGACTATGGACTCTCAGAAACAAACCAAGGGTTGGGGAGGTGGTTAGCCTGGTGATGGGTATTAAGGAGGGCACGGATTGCATGGAGCACTGGGTGTTGTGTATAATGTAGTGTTCCATGGCTCATTGTTTGTGTATAACAATGAGCCATGGAACACTACATCAAAAACTAATGATGTACTGTATGGTGGCTAACATAATAAAAAAAAAAAACTATCTCTAAAGATCTAGATTTTTAAATTTTTTTTAAATTCCATTTAGTTAACATATACTGTATTATTAGTTTCAGAGGGAGAATTCAGTGATTCATCAGCTGCATATAACACCCAGTGTTCGTTACATCATGTGCCTTCCTTAATGCCCATTACCCAATTACCCTCCAAAACTCCAAAATGGATTACATTATCCATTACATCATATAACATATGTTGCTATAAACATTGGGGTGCATGTGCCCTTCAAATCACTGTTTGTATCCTTTGGATAAATACCCAGTAGTGCAATTGCTGAGCCATAGGGTAGTTCTATTTTTAACTTTTTGAGGAATCTCCATACTGTTTTCCACAGTGACTGCACCAGTTTGCTTCCCCCCCAAAAGTGTAATAGGGTACCCCTTTCTCCACATCCTCACCGACATCTGTTGTTTCCTGACTTATTAATTTTAGCCATTCTCACTGTGGTTTTGATTTGTATTTCCCTGATGTGAAGTGACGTTTAGTGATTTTCCATATGTCTCTTGGCCATTTGGATATCTTCTTTGCAAAAATATCTTTTCATGTCTTCTACCTATTTCTTGATTGGATTATTTGTTTTGGGGGCAGGGAATGTTGAGTTTGATATTTTCTTTACATATCTTGGAAACTAGCCCTTTATCTGATCTGTCATTTGTGAATATCTTCTCCCATTCAGCAGGTTGCCTTTTAGTTTTGTTGACTGTTTTCTTTGCTGTGAAAAAGCTTTTTATCCTGATGAGGTCCTAATACTTCATTTTTGCATTTGTCTCCCTTGCCCTTGGAGAGGTGCCTAGTAAGAAATTGCTGTGGCCGAGGTCAAAAAAGTTGCTGTCTGTGTTCTCCTCTGGGATTTTGATGGATTCTTGTCATTTTGAGTTTATTTTTGTGTATGGTGTAAGAAAGTGGTCCAGCTTCATTCTTCTGCATGTGACTGTCCAATTTTCCCAACACTGTTTCTTGAAGAAATTGTCTTTTCTCCATTGGATATTCTTTCCTGCTTTGTCAAAGATTAGTTGACCATAGAGTTAAGGGTCCATTTGTGTTTTCTCTATTCTGCTCCATTGATCTATGTGTTTGTTTTTGTTCCAGTACCATACTGTATGATGGTCACAGTTTTGTAATACAGCTTGGAAGTCCAGAATTGTGATGCCTCCAGCTTTGGTTTTCTTTTTCCACATTACTTTGGCTATTTGGGGTCTTATCTGGTTTCATACAAATTTTAGGATTGTTTGTTCCAGCCCTGTGAAAAATGCTGGTGGGGACTGCACTGAATGTGTAGATTGCTTTGCGTAGCATAGACATTTTAATGATGTTCATTCTTTCAGTCCATGAGTATGGAATGTTTTTCCATTTCTTTGTGTCTTCCTCAATTTCTTTCATTAGTGTTATATACTTTGGGGTTTTTTTAAGATTTTTATTTACTTATTTGAGAGCGAGAGAGAATAAAAGAGAAAGAGAGAGAGCAGGAGGAGCAGGGAGGGGCAGAGGGAGAGGGATAAGTAAACTCTGCTGAGCAAGGAGCCTGATGCTGGGCTGGATCCTAGGACCTTGGGATCATGACCTGAGCCAACCAACTGAGCCACCGAGGTGCCCCAAATGTTCTCTAGTTTTCAGAGTACAGATCCTTTATCTCTTTGATTGGGTTTATTTCTAGGTATCTTATAGTTTTTGGTGCATTATAAATGGGATCAATTCCTTGATTTCTCTTTCTTTTGTCTCATTATTAGTGTAGAGAAATGCAACTGACTTCTGTGCATTGATTTTATATCCTATGACTTTGCTGAATTCCTCTATCAGTTTTAGCAATTTTTTGGTGGATGCTTTGGGTTTTCTACATAGAGTATCATGTAGTCTTCATAGATTGAAACTTTGAGTTCTTTACTGATTTGGATGCCTTTTATTTATTTTTGTTGTTTCATTGCTTATGCTACAACTTCCAGTACTATGTTGAAGAACAGTGGTGAGAGTGGATGTCCCTGTTGTGTTTTGTGTTTCTGACCTTAGGGGAAAAGCTCTCAGTTTTCCTCCAGTGAGGATGATATTTGCTATAGGTCTCTTGTATATGGCTTTTATGATATTGAGGTATGTTCCCTCTATCCCTACAGGGCAGAGAGCTTTTATCAAGAAAGGATACTGTATTTTGTCAAATGCTTTTTCTGCATTGAGAGGATCATATGGTTCTTGTCCTTTCTTTTATTAATGTGTTGTATTACATTGATTGATTTGCAGATGTTGAACCACCCTTACAGCCGAGGAATAAATACCACTTGGTCGTGGTGAGTAATCCTTTTATTGTACTATTGGATCCTATTAGCTAGTATCTTGGTGAGAATTTTTGCAGCCATGGTCATCAAGGGTATTGGTCTGCAATTCTCCTTTTTAGTGGGGTCTTTATCTGGTTTTGGGATCAAGGTTATGCTGGCCTCATAAGAAGAGTTTGGAAGTTTCCTTCCATTTCTATGTTTTGAAACATTTTCAGAAGAACAGGTATTATTTCTTCTTTAAATGTTTGGTAGAATACCATAGGGAAGTCCTCTGGCCCCAGACTTTTGTTTGTTTGGTTGGAGATTTTTGGCTACTGCTTCAATTTCTTTGCTGGTTATGGGTCTGTTCAATTTTTCTATTTCTTCCTGTTTGGGGTTTTGTAGTTTATAGGTTTCTAGGAATTTACCATTTCTTTCAGATTGACTACTTTTTTGGCTTATAGTTGTTCATAATATTCTCTTAATCGTTTGTATTTCTTTGGTGTTGGTCATGGTCTCTCCTCTTTCATTCATGCTTTTATTTATTTGAGTCGTTTCTCTTTTCTTTTTGATAAGTTTGTCCAGGAGTTTATCAGTCTTATTAATTCTTTCAAAGAACCATCTACTAGTTTCAGTGATCTGTTCTACTGTTCTTTTTTTTTAAATTTCTATATCATTGATTTCTGCTTTAATCTTTATTTATCTTCTCCTGTGGATTTAGGCTTTACTTGCTGTTCTTTTTCCAGCTCCTTTAGGTGTAAGATGAGGTTGTATATTTGAGACTTTTCTTGCTTCTTGAGGAAGGCCTGTCTTGCTATATACTTCTTTCTTAGGACTGTCTTTGCTGCATCCCAAAGATTCTGAACTGTCATGTTTTCATTTTCATTTACTTCCATGTATCTTTAAAATTCTTCTTCAATTTCCTGGTTGACCCATTCATTCTTTAGTAATGTTCTTTAATTTCCATATATTTGTGGTCCTTCCAAATTTTTTCTTGTGGTTGACTTCAATTTTCATAGCATTGTGGTCTGAAACTATGCACGGTATGATGATTTCAATATTTTTGTACTGGTTGAGATCTGATTTGTGACCTAGTATGTGATCTATTCTGGAGAATATTCCATATGCTTTCGAGAAGAATGTGTATTTTGCTGTTTTGTGATGAAATGCTTTGAATATATCTGTTAAGTCCATCTGATCCAGTGTGTCATTCAAAGTCCTTGTTTCCTTGTTGATCTTCTGCTTAGGCGATCTGCCCATTGCTATAAATGGGATCTTAACAGTCCCTGCTATTATTGTATTATTATCAATGTGTTTCTTTAATTTGTTATTAATTGGTTATATATTTGGCTTCTCCCACGTTAGAGGCATAAATATTTACAATTGTTAGATCTTCTTGTTGGACAGACCCTTTTGTTATGATATAGTGTCCTTCTTCATCTCTTATTACAGTCTTTGGTTTGAAATACAGTTTTCTGGTATTTTGGCAAGGATGGCAACTCCAGCTTTGTTTTGATGTCCATTAGCATGATAAATGGCTCTTTACCCCTCACTTTCACTGTGGAGGTATCTTTGGGTCTAAAAGAGTCTCTTATAAGTAACATATTGATGGGTCTTTTATTTTAAATCCATTCTGATACCCTATGTCTTTTGACTAGAACATTTAGTTCCTGTACATTCATAGTAAGTATTGAAAGATACGAATTTAATGACATAGTATTATCTGCAAAATCTCTGTTCCTCTGGATTGTCTCTTAAAGACCTAGATTTAGATGTAGATTGTATGTGATAGAGTTGGACTTTGAACCCAGATAGCTTAGTTCAGAATCCAAAATTGCTTAGAGGATATGGCTGGAGGAACAAATGCTTAAGCTACAAAGGCTGGGGCTAAAAATCAGAAGAGAGAATGTGAGCAGCAGGTCCTGATTTAGGATAAGATAATATGCAAGAATCCCATCAAAGATGGAATTCTCTACATCCACATCTACATCTACATCTATGCAATACTCTACAAATTAATGCATCCTATTTATTTAGACAGATTCACTTAATCTACCCTTTGTTTCTTTTCATTTCTTCTCGCATTTCAACATTTCAGTTTGGAATTCTCTTCCCTCTGGCTGAGAAACTTCCCTTAGTATTATTTCTTTCAACACAAATATCCTGAACAATATATTCTCTCAGCGTTTGTCAGTCTGAAAACAACCTTACACTACTTTTGCTTTGAAAGATTCTTTCACTGCGTATGGATTTTAGATTGACATTTTATTTTATTTCAGTACTTTTTAAATGTCAGTCATTGTGTTCCACCTTCATTCCATCTTTGACATTATGAAGTTTCTGTGAGCCTTAGCTATGCTCCTTTAACATGATGTGTCTGTTTTTCTCACACTACTCTTACAATGTTCCCTTTATCTTCAGTTTCCAACAAATTCACTATGCTGTACCTAGATGTATTTTGCTTTGTATTCATTTTATCTCGGATTAGCCAAAGGTATGTATCTATAAGGACTTGAATCTGAATTGATACTTTTCATCAACTTTGGGAAATTGTTGGCCTTTTGGTCTTCAAATATTGCTTTTGCCAAATTGCCTTCCCCTTCTCTACTTTTGGGACTCCAGCTAAAGGTAGATTAAATATTTTCACTATCCCCACGTTTCTCACAATTTTTTTCCCTTTTCTTTTATTAATTTTTCTCACTCTACTTTTGTTTCATCATTTTCTGTTGCCCTTCCCTCCAGGTCACTGATGCTGTTTAGATCTGTGTCTAATATGCAGTTATGGAGTTTTCTCTTTCAGTTACTATATTCTTCAAATCTAGAGCTTCCATTCAATTCTGTTTTTAGGTTCTAATTCTTCTGTGAAATTCTCTATTTGTTTATCTGTCTGCTCCATTCATTCCTATTTTCTCGAACATATTAATAGTTGTTTTAAAAATTGTATCAATAATCCCAATAACTGAATTATTTATGAGACTATTTCTATTGGATTTTCCTAGTCTTTAAAAAAAAAAAAGTAGGATCCTGTCTTTTAACCTATCTAGTAATTTTTTATTGAGTGCCAGAAATTGTGTATAGAAAAGCATAGCAATGTCAAGTGATGTTCAGTCTTTCCAGAAGGGTTCACCCATTCCTCTCCTCAGCTGATAAACAGGACTGAGGCTGGATGGCAATATGGATAAGAATAGATATGCCTCTCAATCATCTTCTACTTATAGCATAAAGCCCTCCAGGCTTTGCAGTTGAGAACCTGATATGTTTATGAGAAATTGTCCCCTAGAAGTCCTGATCCATGTTTCCACAGCACAATTATGTGGCCAAAAATTCTTCTTTACCTTTCAGATGCTTTCTTATGCAACTTACTGACCAGCAAAACTTCAAAATCTGACTAGCATCTTTTTTTTTTTTTTAAGATTGTATTTACTTATCTGACAGAGAGAACATGCGCACAAGCAGGGGGAGCGATAGACAGAGGGAGAGGGAGAAGCAGACTCCCCAGCTGAGCAGGGAGCTGGACGTGGGGTTTGATCCCAGGACCCTGGAATCATGACCTGAACCTAAGGCAGACGCTGAGTAGCATCTTAATAGAGTAATTGGTCACATAGCTGGCTCATTTCTTTGGCCTTCTATTTCCCACAGAGGCTTCTTTCCTCAATTTTACAATTTTATCTTTCCAGCCTGCAAGAACACCAAAAGCTATGATGATTCCTCTCTACCCGGCAATAACTTTCTGCTCAGGCAAAATCTGAAACCTCAGCCTCTTGCCCTAACAAATGCTCCCAAGGAAAAATTATCTGTAGAACATCTGCTCACCTCTCTGTGGTCTTCTTTCTCAGCATTCTTGGCCCCTTTATATTCTTCAGTGCCTTAGCACTGATGGTTTTCTTATGCTATTACATAGACAAAATACTTGCAGTATTGTATCCTGTTTTTCTAGCTGTTGTCAGAAGGAACATTCATCTGCCATAGCTTTTTCATCATACCAAAAGCAAAAATCTTCTCAATGTTTTGAGGTTCATAAGATATTATTTTCTTGTATTACCAACATTGATTATTTTGTCGTCTCTTTTTCTTAGCCAATCACACTAAAGTTACATTAGGTTTTTTATCTCAAAAAACCACATTTCGGGTTTTTTATGTATGTTTTTTTTTTCTATGGCATTACTTTCTATTTTTGTCTTTATATTTCCTTCTATTTTTATAGCTTCATCAGATTGATGCTTCATCAGATCTGTTGCATCTCTCAAAATTTAATATGTGGTAATTTCAGCATTATTCAGTTAAAATATTTTACAATTTACAATGTTGTTTTTCCCCGAATATTACTTTGTTGTTTGACTAACCAGTGTTTCCTGAAGTTCAATAATTTATTTTTTTGTTCTTAAACTGTTAAATTGAAATTTAGCACAAATACAGAAAAAAATACAAAACATAACTATCTATATCAATGAATTATCAGTAATTCATTGGAAAGTAATTCCAAGGAACTCCTTTTGAAATCAAACGTATCAGAAGCCCCCTTCATGTCTTCTTTCAGAAACTTTACCCTTTCTTCTTCCTAAAGGTAAATGTGACTTACTAAGTTGTGGCATATAAATATAATACAATACAATAGTGACTACATTTCAGTAAGAATGAATAAGACAGTGTTGAATGAATGAAACCAGAAAGATAATAATTAATACACATTGTATTATATGTGTATAATTAATTATATTTAAAATTTTATACAATACATACTGTATAATTTTTTAAAGTTTAAAATTTACCTCATTGCCAGAAATGGAAATTTTTATAGGATTTTAAAATTTTCATTTGGGACATCTGAGTGGCTCAGTCAGTTAAATATCTGACTCTTGATTTCAGCTTAGGTCTTGATCTCAGGGTCATAAGTTCAAGCCCTGTATTGGGCTCTGCACTGGGCATGGGCATACTTTTTTTAAAAAAGTTATTTTACATGTATGGGCTTAAATAATTAATTAATTAATTAATTTTGTTTTTCTATAATGAAGGTATATTGGTTTTTGTTTGTTTCATGTTTTTATTTAAATTTCAGTTAACATATCATTTAATACTCATTTCAGGAATAAAATTTAGTGATTCATCATTTACGTACAACACCCACTGCTCATCATAATTGCCCGGGGTTAAATTTATTTAAAATGTTTTGTCATTGATGATGAAAATAAAGAAAATTGGCAGATTTGTATGTATACATAAATGAATAAGGATTCTATATGATACAAAAACATCATTTTGTAAATTCTAAATTATACAAAGAAGCTGAAAAACACAAAAATAATGTATAGTCTGAAATACAGGTAGAGGGAAATGGTCTAAGGTCTTTGCATTGTCTAGAAAAATATTAAATTACCAATCATTATTATGCTTCAGCATTTAAGAATTTTGTATTATAGGAGTGAATGAAATGCAGGCATGCAACATCAAAAAAAAAAAAAAAACTGAGTTCTATTTGGATCCTGGTAAATTTGGAGAACAGGGAACGCATAGAGTGACGTGAGATTCTGGAAATGTTAGAAATGATAATAAATCGTCCCCTTTAACATACTTGCCAATAAGGCAAACTAACTTCATTCCAACTTGTTTTTTCCACATATAACTAGTTGACATTTTGTATCTATTCCAGTTGAGGTGCACCATAAGGGCAAATACCTACAGTTCTACCCTTGCAATGATTGGCCTATTTCTAATTGGATTTGAAATTACATTCTTTTTAGTGAAAAGAGAAAAAATTGTATGGATCCAGGTAAGTAAAAGATTTATAAATTTTTTTCACAATCAGAGGTTTATACGTTAAGTTTGTTTGTAAATGAGCTAATATTTTGGTTTTGAACAAATGTGGAAGTGGTAGAAATTATTCACATTTGGTATGACCACAAATATGGATTCAAATCACTGAACAGGGCTCTAAACCTATGACCACCAAAAATTCAAGAAATCAAATAAAGGGTATTACATAAAGTAAAATAATTAGTATCTACATTGATAAGATTCAGATGAAGGATACTGGTGAACACAGAAAGACCTTAAATAAGTAGATAACTTTTAAGGATAGATCTGAGATTGATAAGCTCATTGACTCCATGTCTTAGATATCTGTGTCTCCCCAGTGCCTATTACAATGCCTGGAAATTAATAGATGTCTAATAAATGTTAATTGAATGAATGAATGTTCTTTATTAAATATTCCTCTGATGGTATTCCAGGTTAGCATATAAAACATTTCTGAGAACTGATAATCAGAAGTTCTCTAGACACAATAATCAGATAAGTCCCAAGTCCCCTGAATATGCCATAAATTCACCTTTTCCTAACACAGCACTAACCATTTAATTTTTTTTTGTCTTTTTTTTTTAATTTTATTTTTTATGAACATATAATATATTTTCCCCCCCAGGGGTACAGGTCTGTGAATCACCAGGTTTACACACTTCACAGCACTCACCATAGCACATCCCTCCCCAATGTCCATAACCCCACCCCCCACTCCCAACCCCCCTCCCCCCAGCAACCCTCAGTTTGTTTTGTGAGATTAAGAGTCACTTATGGTTTATCTCCCTCCCAATCCCATCTTGCTTCATTTACTCTTCTCCTACCCCCTTAACCCCCCATGTTGCATCTAACTTCCTCATATCAGGGAGATCATATGATAGTTGTTTTTCTCTGATTGACTTATTTCGCTAAGCATGATACCCTCTAGTTCCATCCACGTCGTCGCAAATGGCAAGATTTTATTTCTTTTGATGGCTGAATAGTATTCCATTGTGTATATATACCACATCTTCTTTATCCATTCGTCTGTTGATGGACATCTAGGTTCTTTCCATAGTTTGGCTATAGTGGACATTGCTGCTATAAACATTCGGGTGCATGTGCCCCTTCGGATCACTACGTTTGTATCTTTAGGGTAAATACCCAGCAGTGCAATTGCTGGGTCATAGGGTAGTTCTATTTTCAACATTTTGAGGAACCTCCCATTTAATTTTAAACTAAATATACTGGAAATGTAAGTTAAAATGGAAGAAAGACCAACATACTGATCATCGGCTAAATTTTCATAGGATTCCCAGTTTCTTAAAGTTATGGAAGTATTTGTATTAGTATACTAACTCAGGATTTCAAAGACCTGGTGAAATTAGAACCAAAAAAAGAAGTCTGATTCTTATTCAGCAAATTTTCAAGATGAAAGGATAGTCGGGGCAAATAGTCACAATCCAAAATTTTTCTTATCATAAACATTGTTAGCATTTTTGTCATCTTAGGGCATGATTTACATTTTATGACACCATGTGTATTGTAACCCTTAAAGAATAGGAACAAGTCCTTAAGAAGTCTACCTGGGGCCTATCAGGTGTTTATATTTCTTCTTCAGTGTCCTGCCGACATATATGTCAGTTCAGTACATTCACGGAGGTTCTGTTTTTACAGGTAATAGGAATAAATAAGAACATTTTAAAATATGTGATCGAGCACCTGGCTGATAGGTCTTAGAAGGTACCACTTATATGTGCAAAAGCGCAAAAGATCTGGCGCAAAGCTGTAGAGCATGGTACACTCAGAGGTCAGCCCACCACACCCCCTGGAAGTTCATTATGTTTTACTCATGGTGCCTGAACCCTGTGAAGAAAATTAAAGACAAGAATGTTTGAGGTCTGGTGGCTTTTCATGCTTAAAACTATTATAGAGGTGTTGTAGGAACTGAAACCCGGTAGGGGCAGACAGGGCATAGAAAAACCTCTAGTGTGAGTGGCCAGGTGTTTACCCCAGAAAGCCTTCTTTCACTACTGATACAGGAACATGCCATACAGGAGGCCATAGGGTGTGTTCTCAGTTGCTAGCATCAACATTTGTGCCCAATAGATTCATTTCCAAATGCCAGAAGTCGCAGACTTTGTAAATATGTTTGTTGTTCAGGGCTGCTGCGTCAGACTTGCAAGCTCTGAGGCTAGGAGCAACCGCCAGCTTTCCCTTAGGGCAGACTCATTTGGAAACCACAGGGTCTCCTCTCCTTCTCTCCCAGGAGGCTTCCCTATGAAAACTTGCCCAAAATATCCCCAGCAACCAGCTTTGATTACTGGAAGCTACCAAAACAAGCAACTTTTGTTAGGCACTCTGCACTTATTCTCCTAAAGAAGCCATTCAAATGTTCCAACAAAGAATCAGAAAATATCAGTAACTTACTGACTCTTTCTAGACAAGGAAAGGGCAACAGCTTGTCTAGGTAAAAAGTTTCAGTTTCTTTTCTTTCTCCATAGGCACACAGCTAGGTATTTTTATACTATTTTTGACTGAAGATGTGTATATAATAATATATATAATATATGTAACAAATTATAAATGAATTGCTTACTTTTTAATATTTGATTCTATTCCACATAGGATTTGAAAGCACTTAAATAATATGTATAGAAATGTAATTAAAATAAGTTTAAAATGAGTATTACAGAAATATGTATTAGCCTCCATTACTATAACTGTATAGTATACTCATATATTAGTTTAAACTGTATAAAATTGCTATTAGGCTGTTTCTGATCTACAAAAATGTCAGTTTCATATGGTTAAATCCAATATGTTAGGCTATTTCAACATATGCAATTTGGAACATGCTCATTATGAAACCATTAGGAAAATAATGATGTAAATATGTAGGTTTTAGGATCCTCCGAATTACCAAAATTGAGTCACAGTTTCCGCTCTAAGCTTTCTAATGAGCAAATGCGAAAAGGAAACTCAACCATTACATGATTATAATGACAGAATGGCCAGGCAGAAATGTTTCAGTGTGTCATAGATAAAATGATTCCTAGAAAAGTACTTTGCTCTGAAATCAATTGCTTGTGTAGTGTTTGGTAAAATATGCTGGAGTTCAGTATAATAGACCCTATGTCATGAAGTGGACTAGCAGGTAAGCTTCATGAAGCCTGTAGTGGTGTTTGCCTCAAATAATGCTGCATCCCCAGCATCTGGGACAGGACTTGGTACAAAAGAGGCACTCACTACATGTATGTTAACTATACACTAGCTGTCAACATTCCTACAGCAAAGGCTAGACCAACTTCCATAAAGCTATATCTGATTTTAAAAAAAACTTATAAAAGAATACTAGGGAAAATCTGTAAGAATCATTTCTGTAAAGAACCAAGAAATTGTGAGCCAAGAATGGTTCAGGCTATAAACCTGAGGGTTAATGAGATTGCATACACCAAGAATGAGATACATACAGGCTATAGACCTGAGGGTTAATGAGATTGCATGTATCAAATAGTACTTCATAAATAAATCTTAGGTCATTGGTAAGAATTGGTTATCCCGCCATTCTCAAGTATATGTTATTCTGGAATTACTGAAATGAAGATATTTGTAACAGCATGAGGACTGTAAAAATTAAATAAGCAGATAGTAGGTGTTATAGTCTTTAATCCTATTTGAAAACCAAGATTTTCACACAGGTGAATGGCCAGGCCTCATTCACTCTGAAATAGTTACAGTTATAGCTGAGACTTCTTTTTTTTTTTTTTTAAGTCTACTCCAGAACATAAATCAGGCTCCAAATATTTAACACCATAAATCCTGTTTGAAAATGTTTTAACTGGAATATTTAGGGAAAATTACTTTGCCCAAACCAGTCTTAAGGAAATAAAAACACTCTTTAATTTTTTTTTTTTTTAATTTAAGGGTCATAACTTGCTAGTCATCTCACTGGGAACACTGATTGTTAATTAATCAAGATTAATCAAATTTTAAAAAATTAATCAAAATTTAACTAGAGAGTGCTCATTTCATTAGCACATATACTAAAATGCAGTAACTAAAGAAACTGATACTTAGGAAATGTTATGAGATTATTAAAAAAGAACAATGAATTTGAGGAACATTTAGTCAAATTAATCCTCTTGTTTTAAAATAATTTATATCAAGTATTCCTAGTGGTAGTTGTTTTTTAATACAACTAGTTATCTATGGAGGCCACTCCTACTTTGTAACAATTGAACAATGTCATTTGCATTTAAGAGAGTATCTGTCCTCTGCTCTAGGCAAGTATGCCTGGAGATCTTCCAGAAGGTATTCCAGTTAGAGTATCACTTAAAACCCAAGAGAGACTATATACAGCCCATTTTATGCCAGTCATATCAGATCTTGATTACCTATTTCTCAGAAGATCAATTTCTGCTCATCCTTATCCCCATATTCAAATGAAAATTTTTCATTAGGATCACTAATCATGATAAATATACATGTATAATCCAATTCACAGAGAATGAAAAGAAACCATAAGTAATTCTCTTCAATGTAAGCCCTGATAGAGTGACATGAGAAATACATGTGGAAAACAATTTGGTAGTATTTACCATAAACCAGGTTTCTGGAAATCCACTTTAATCTTCTGAAAGATGGAAAGAGTTATATGGACCAAAACTGTGTAGCAAACTTAAATAAATTGTATTTCCACTTAAATATTATGCAGACACTGAGTATTATAATTATAAAGATTACATATAAATGTAAAATAACCTTTGATTTTAAATGAGATGAATAGAATATACCTTTTACAAGTATAACAGTATTATAGAAACACATGTTGGAGAAAACAGATATCATGAAGCTGGGAGTCTGTTGGAACTCAAATGGAAGACCCCCAAGAGTCCAAGACCAAGAGTGGGGTAAGAGAAGAAGGGGGACCAGGAAGCAAGTTCTGAGCAACTCTAACATTCAGTAATACTAACTTTGTTATTTTTACCATCCCAAGTCCATTTTCCTCTACTCTAAGATAAAAATAACAATACCACCTGCACAAAATGTAGTTGAGTGGACTCAATAACATAACGTATATAAAACATTTAGCACAAATGCCTAGCCATATAGTAAGTGCTCACTAAATGTTTGTTGTTACAATTATTATCATGTAAACAAGTAAGAATCATCACAATTTTATTATTAAGATGGTGGGATATTATAGATAGCTTTCTATTTTCTAAACGGTTTGCAATTTTATATTATCTTCATGATGCTAAAAATTTTAGAAGTATAAAGATCTGTAAGACATGTAGATTTCTTTTCTGTATTTAGCAAAGTGGAATGATGCTTTCTGGGTATTTGTGGCTATTCTCCTTGTTGGAGCTCTTCCTGGCAAATATAGTGAACAGTTGGATGAACCAAGCATTTTATCATGGCAGTAATCTCATATAATGTGAGTATTTAATTTCTCTGATGAATTAGGAAGTACTGTATTGGCTTCTGTTGTGAACCCAGGCTAAAGAGATTAAAGTTTCAATAGTAACTGTTTATAGGGTTGCCTCTACACACTGAATATGAGTTCAAACAGTTTGGACAGCCTATGTCTATGTGCAAATGCAGATAATTCTCTAAAGATAAAATTTTAGGATTAAAGAGCTATATATTCATATCCTCATGAGAAAATACAGTAGGAAATAGATAATTTTCTGGCTCAGGTCTATGTCATTTGAAGGATAATCCTATGGAGATCAATCCATTAGGTCTCCAGCCTCTAGTTATCAAATAAAGTTTAGATCCCTTGGACCTGGGAGCCTTGGAGCAGCAGGAAGATCAAGGATGTTGGGAGGAAGGAGAAATGGGTCATGACACATTGTATTATCAAACACCACTTGTCTTAGAAGAAAACAGTGATGCCCAAGTAATTTTCCAACCATGTCCTGGGAAATAGGCCAACAGCAGCCATGGCATTAAAACTAATTCACAACTGACTGGAAGTGGGTTAACCTTTGATCTGATAGGAGAGAAGGAAAGGAAATAACTAAAATTGGGTGAAGAAATGAGAGAAGTGCAGGGAGCCTCAGGTCAGAGGTGTTTATGGGTGGCTAGAATAGAAGGAGTAAACCCTGGGTTCTCAGCATAACCAAACTCCACCCAAGACCTCTGGAGTTTGAGTGATGCATATTAAAATAACCCAAGAGAAAGGAAAACTTCTCGAAGGGACACTTAGCATATGACTAGAAAAATTATTGACAGTGAGGATAAAAGTTTAAATAACTTAATTTAAAAACCCTCAGTGAAAAAGAGATCTTGGATCTCAAAGCTCCATGGTCTCCGGAATGAAATTCAATCCACACATTCTGAGAAGAGAAAGTATTTTTTTGCTGTGTAAATGAAGATGCAGCCTCCAAACATCAAAGAAAGGGGGAAATAGCTGAGTCCCTACTCAAGAAACAAATGTTAACATCTGAACATTTTTTTCTCTACCTACATTTACCAAATATATCAGGTTAATTCAAAATGGAAATGATTTCATTTTTAAAGTATTAATAACAGAGGAAAATCTAAACAGGGTAAGGAGCTTTATGAGGCTGAATCCTGGTGTCTGGAGGGAATGAATGAGAGGAAATTAGTCTGAGTAGCCACATGTTGTGCTAGTGTACCAGGCTCTCACACTATACATGATTTCTGCCTCAACTAGATTGGGCGGGGGTCAGGGGGAATGGGATGGAGAAAAAGAAAAAAGAATTGAAAAATGTTTAGGATATTGCATCTAAAGAATTCTCTGGTCATTTCAGTTTGAAAGTAGTTTTCAACTCCTTGGCCAGAGAAATCAAGTGATGGGTGATGGTGCTTTTTTTTTTTTAATTAAAATATATTTGACATATAACGTTTTGTAAATTTAGGTGTACAGCATGTTAATTTAATACATTTAGGTACTCTATGACTGCCATTGAAGCAAAAATTAACACCTCTATTTCATATCACATAACTATCATTTCTTTTTTTTGGCTGGAATAATTCAAAGGTAGTCTCGATAATTATTACTCAAACAGCCAAGGACAGAAATCATGCTCTTGCCAAGAGCAAAACGAACAGCATGTACACAGCAACAACAAGTGCCCAAGTCTGCCAGCTAATTTCAGTCTGTGGGTTCCTAAGTCATGACCCTCTGCTGGAAGGTTGACCTTCTGGAAGGAGAGGACCAATAGAGAGTGGAATGAATGGAATGAAAGAATGGAAAGAAAGGAGAAAAGAGTCATCAAGAAAACTTGGAACATGAAACTATGTTTTGTGTATCACTTATAGATATACCATAGCAAATGACAGTGGATAAAATACAGCTTTATGTCGGGCGCCTGGGTGGCTCAGTGGGTTAAGCCTCTGCCTTTGGCTCAGGTCATGATCTCAGGGTCTTGGGATCGAGGCCCACATCGGGCTCTCTGCTCAACGGGGAGCCTGCTTCCTCCTCTTTCTCTCTATGCCTGCCTCTCTGCATACTTGTGATCTCTCTCTCTCTGTTTCAAATAAATAAATAAAATCTTAAAAACAAAATACAGTTTTAGGTCAACCATAACGAAGTAATAACCTACTTCAAATGTATTCTAAATTCTTTCATCACATAGTAACCCATTAAGCATAGGTTTAAATTAGTAAATTTGAATTGTATTAGTTTCACTAGAAAACAAAACATTCATGTTTGTTTAGTTTAGGTGTTCAGTGTTTATGAAGCATTGTCACTACTTTCTAAACTAAAAAAAAAAAAAAGAAAGAAAGAAAGAAAACATCAAAAGCAAATGTGTTATTGATTCCTGAGGGGAGGAAGTAGGATGAGGAGGGTCCTGGATGGTGAGAATATTCCTATTAATATCTCTTCCAAAATACCCACTCAAAATCCTGTGGTCTGACATAGACCGGGCTCTTTGATCAGTTTCTCAGATATGACTTGTCTGCCTAGAGAAGAGATGACTCAAGAAGAGGTGTGATATCTCTCAGAGTCCAAGAATTAATATTCTTATTCAAGAATAACCTGGGAGGGGCACCTGGGTGGCTTAGTCAGTTAAGCGACTGCCTTTGGCTCAGGTCATGATCCCAGTCTCCTGGGATCAAGCCCCATGTTGGGCTCCTTGCTCAGTGAAGTCTACTTCTCCCACTCCCTCTGTGTTCCCTCTCCCTTTTTCTCTCTGTCTCTCACTCTCTCAAAGAAATAAATAAAATTTAAAAAATAACCTAAGAGAAGAGTAGAGAAGAAAATATGCCAAAATGAGGAATGTTTATTTCAACCTGATTGTGTCCTTTCTCTGAGTCCCTGCATATTATGTCTCCACCTACCAAGTCAGAGTAGGTCTTTAACTGGGAAGATTTTGGAAAGTTATTTAGTAGAAAACTTCAATGACATAGATAGAATAAGACCACTTTTTAAAATGCATTAATGATCAATTTACTAATGCTCCACTTTTCTCAGGTTCATGATACAAGAGAATGCTTTTATTACATGTTGAAGAACAGAACCATCATGGCCTCAGCCCAGAACGAAAAATTTAATGGTAAATGAAGGAAGAGCATCATCATTTTGTTCAGGCAACTTTCTAGAAACACATTTTTGTAAAGTTTGTCCCAATGTTTCTTTTTCCCAGTTCTGTAAATAAAGATTAAAATGAATGACTCTGGCTATATTTTCTGTATGGAGGATTTTGAGTATAAAGTGACCTCAGTTTGGATCTGGTTATCTTGAGTTAAGGAATTATTTTACTTCTTTATTTCAAGAAAACCCAAGGGGCCACTGCCCAAGGTGTGCCCTGGACCTTCCCCCAACAGGAGTCCCAAAGTGAAAAGCAGACACATCTGGAAAAGATGCATTTAGAAGACCCCACCAGATTCTGTCCAGAGGAAGAAAGAGAAAGAACAAATACCTTTCAGCAATCAAAACCCTAGGTAGGACCAGAAAGGGGGCTTCCTCCTTCTGCCTCCCCACCCCCAACTCCTGCTTTCACTAATTCTCTCTGTGTCTGTCTCTCTTTTTTAAAAAAAGAATCTGTTTCTTGGTTTGTCTTTCTCTCTCTCTCTCTCTCTCTCTCTATCTGTGTGTGTGTGTGTGTGTGTGTGTGTGTGTTTCTTTTTCCTTTGTTCATTTGTCTTACGAATGAGATCTTGTCATTTGCAATAACATGGGTGGGGCTAGAAAGCATAATGCCAAGTAAAATAAGTCAGTCAGAGAAAAGACAAATACTACATGATTTCACTCATATGGCAAATTTAAAAAATAAAACAAATGACCTTATTCCACTTTTTAAAGGTTAACTTAGTATTCATGAGCCTTTACTCCTTATACAAAGTTTTGAGTTAATTTATCAAGCTTCTCAAAAAATTGAACTGAAATTTTTCATCAAATTAATATATTAATTTTGGAAGAATTGAAATCTGTTTTATATTGAGTTATCCCATCCAAGAGCGTGGAATGTCTCTTCTTTCATTCAGGTCATCTTAATCATTTTCTGTGTCTGTTATTGAAGTTTTAAACTTTTCCTCATAAAGATTTTATATATACTTGTTTAAATTAATCCCTGGAATTTTTATAGCTTTCATTATTATAAATGTTTTTTTTTTCTTACTACATTTTATAGTTGGCTATTAGTGGTGTAGAAAAATGATAATGGTTTTTGTAGGCTGATTTTGGACCTGAAAACCCAGATAAACTATTTTCTTAGCTCTAATAGTCTTTTTGGCAGATACAATTGACTTTTCAAAGTAAATGATCATATCCTTCATATCATATAATCATCTTCATTACAAACTTCACTACTTAATATTCTTTTATTTTAGCGTTGACTAGTTCAATGATAAATAATAACAGTAATAGTGGACATCTTTGGATTCTCCCAAACTTAAAGGGAATAAACCTCAAGTTTCCCCATATTGTATAATGTTTGGTGTAAGTTTAGGTTATATTTTTCATTGTTAAAGAAATTTCCTTTAGACTGCAAACACATGTCTTGGCAAGAGTCTAGAGAACATTCTGGAAATATAGGAATTTATTAGGTCAGCTTCATTGGCAAGGGGTGACTTATCCCTGAGTTAAAATGATGTGCTAGCTCAAGCACCTGGGAATGACTTCCTAGTCTGTCATTTACTAACTGGAGCCTGGCTTGCAGATCAATGGCATTTGATATATTAAAACTTTCTTTGTGTATGTTAGAAGAAGGAATCCAAGATTCAGGAAAATGGGGACATGCAATGAAGCTATTCTATACAACAATCCATCCTAATGACATCCTCTAAGAGGTTCCAGAAGGCACCATCTTCACCAGGGCATTAAGTCATGCACTGGTGAAAAAGCAGCAACATACTGAAGAGTTCTGAGGTGGCTGTCATTCGTAAGCCCAAGACCTCAGTGGGAAATGTAGCAACAGGCTCAAGTACCCTGATCTCAATGGGAATTATGAGATCCCCAAGTGGCAGAGGGCTAATGTTGTCCCTTAACTATCAGAGACACTGTGGGTAAAATTTAAATCCCCTTCCCACACATGTTCCCCAAACTCCTGCCAATACAGATTGTTGCAGTCTTACAAGTTTTCAGTGAACAGACTAACTAAAATCAGAGAGATGAGATTGTTAAGAAGGATGTCATCTTGTGTTTCACACGAGGCTCCTGTGCTGCCATTATTTTTCCTGAGACCAAACTTGGAAGTCTTGCAGGGGTACTTCTTCAGTTTAATAATAAAAGATATATTATGGACATTGGGGGGGGTGCTGTGGTGAGTACTGTGAAGTGTGTAAACCTGGCGATTCACAGACCTGTACCCCTGGGGCTAAAAATACATTATATGTTTATAAAAAAATAAAAAATAAAAATTAGAAGTAAAAAAAAAATGAAAGATCTATGTGTATTCACCACTTATTGGGCATTCACTGTGTGCTAGGGAAGTGCTTTACCTGCATGTATTCATTCTGTCCTTTCTTTTCTTGGAAAATTATGCAATAGGGAGTCTATTCTACCCTAAAACAATCTATACTCTTCCCCCTGGGTGTTCCCAAGTCCGAGGACATAGTATGATGCTGACACAACCAGTTAAAAGTGGTATGCTCTTACCCCACTCACCACCCCGCCCTCATCCGGGGAGCCTGCGCGCTCAGCGGAACTGTGGGGGGTCTCACCACACCCCGGGGGTGCGCGCGGGGCTCTTCGAGCAGCAACCCCTGCAGCCGTTCTCTCGGCCACAACCGCAGCATTGGAACCACACGCACGAGGCAGGGGATGAGAGCCACAACCCAGGAAGCAGTGCCCACCGGGCTCCCAGGGCTGGAAGGCCCCAAACTGAGGGCACCCCTGCAGGATCACTCTCCTCTGGCAGTGCGCCCAGGGCATGACATCCGTATAGGGAGCCTACGCCGGGTTGCCTCTAGGACTCAGACCCGGTCACCCTGAATCAGAGATTGCCAGGCCCTGGCTCCCCGGATGGCCTCATGCTGGGTTCTCCCATCGCTAGGAATGTTTTACTGGTAATAATACTTGAGTTGAGAAGATCCATGCTCATCCTACGCGTTTCAGCCCCATTCAGACGGCTGGGTGGCTTACCAAGCATTGCCTGGGAGAATCTTGTATCACCTGAAGTAAGGAACCGCCTGAGGGAAAGAGGACCTTGTGAGTGACAGCCTCATTACCAACCCAAGCCTGAGTTCTCAGCATCCCCCCAGTTCGGGTTCCTATTTGAAACCGTTTTCTCTTTTTATCCTGATGCTTCAAATCTCCATGTGAAATGGTCTTGAGTTTGGATTTCAGTTATTTTGTATGATCAGTGTTTATTACCTTGGGGTGTGTCTCCAGGGTCCCTAAAGGGAATTTTGTGTATTCACAAAGCTTAGATTGAAGTCATTCTGTTCCAGACTTTCCATCCAAATTTGATAAAAGGCTATGTGGAATGTGAGTTTGCTTTTTAGGACTGCAGTAATAATAATGCAATCATGGCTATATTTATCGTATACTTACTGCATACCATACTTTTCTAATTTCTTCCTCTTTAATATTGACTTCATGAAAAATGAAACAAGTTGGGATTGGGAGGGAGACAAACCATAAGAGACTCTTAAATCTCACAAAACAAACTGAAGTTTGCTGGAGCTGGGTTATGGACATTGGGGAGGGTATATGCTGTGGTGAGTGCTGTGAAGTGTGTAATCCTGATGATTCACAGACCTGTACCCCTGGGGCAAATAATACATTATATGTTAATAAAAATTTTTTTTAAAATACTGACTTCATGAATGGCATAGCCCCTATATCGTATACTGAGAACTATCACCTAAAATACCATGAAATGAAAGCCAATTCAGTTACGTTTGACGAACACGTAGAAATTTGTTTGTATTATACCCTTATTCAATAATCATTGAGCTCCTAAAATGTGCCATATGCTGTGCTTGAAGTCTATAGTTAAAAGATCAGTATGACACAAACACACCAAAATATATATATATATATATATATATATATATATATATATATATATATATATGGCTTATTGATGGGACTGAAACTAATCAGAAAAAGCTGGATTGTTCTTTGAGAAATCCATGTAGTTGCAGATAGCAAGAATTTTTTTTCTTTTTATGACTAAATAATATTCCATTCATATTGCGGTATTGCAGTATTGTGGTATTATGGTATTGTGGTATGTGGTATTGTGGTAAATGTATATACCACATCTTCTTTATCCATTTATCTGCTGAAGGACATTTAGGTTGTTTTTCTACATTAGCTTTTGTGAATAATGCTGAAATGAACGTGGGAGTGCAGATATCTCTTCAAGATAGTGAAGTGGGATGGCTGGATCATGTGGTAGTCCAATTTTTATAATTTTTTTAGGCACTCGCATACTGTTTTCCATAGAGGCTGTACCAGTTCACATTCCAACCAACAGTGCAGAAGAGTTGCCTTTCTCCATTTCCTCACCAACATTTGTTATCTCTTGTCTTTTTGATAAGAGATACCCTAACAAGTGTGGTGTGATATCTCATTGTAGTTTCAATTTGCATTTCCGTGATGGTTAGTGATGTTGAATATCTTTTCATATACCTGTTTGCTGTTTGTGTGTCTTCTTCAGGAAAATATCAGTTCAGGTCTTAGCCTATTTTTAAATTGAGTATTTGTTTTTTTGTTATTGAATTGCAATCTTTCCACATATAGTTTGGATATTAACCCCCTGCTGGATATAGGGTTTCCAAATATTTTCTCTCTTTTTATAGATTATCTTTCATTGATTGTTTCATTTACTGTACAGAAATTTTTGAATTTGATGTAGTCCCACTTGTTTATTTTTGCTTTTGTTGCTTGTGCTTTTGGTGTCAGACCCAAAAATCTCATTGCCAAGACAAACATCAAGGAATATTTTCCCTATGCTTTCATCTGGAAGTTTTGCGATTTGGGGTTTTATGTTTAAACCTTTCATCCATTTTTTTAAAGATTTTATTTATTTATTTGACAGAAAGAGAGAGATCACAAGTAGGCAGAGAGGCAGGCAGAGAGAGAGGGGGAAGCAGGCTCCCCACTGAGCAGAGAGGTCAATGCGGGACTCGATCCCAGGACCCTGGGATCATGACCTGAGCCAAAGGCAGAGACTCAACCCACTGAGCCACCCAGGCGCCCCTTTCATCCATTTTTATTT